TTTTCATGCTCTATCCGAATATGAACTTGAAATTTTTAAACAAATTGAAGAAAGTAGTGAAAATTCGAAAATAATGGTGAAACAAGGCTATTTTCACTTATTCAGTATACTTTATCAGTTAAGTCAATTATTTTTTTCGATATTAACTGCTCGAAATATTGATTATTTTGAACTCTTTGTTTATCGAAAATGATATTTTTGGGCGGTCGAAACATTCTCTTGCAAATCCCCCTGAAGAGGCCTCTGGGAAGAGCCGAAACCGGTTCTGTCGATAGCCGGTTGGGATGACAGCCGTCGAGATATTCTTTTGAAACTACACGACTTTAATTCGCTTTCTTCTTCAACTTTATTTTCGAAGCAAAACCTACTAAGTTAAAGTATCGCATTTGGATCTCGACCTCTCTCCCTGGTTAGTTTGCTGATTGAAAGTAAAATAATCAGTCTAAGTTGATTTGCTTATCTCATAAAGCTGAAACCCAAAAGTCCTAATGGGACTGTCTCTTACGTTTAAGTATCAAGTTTTAGTTTTTGAACATTTTGCAATGGAGAAATCAAATAAACATTCATGTTGTTTATGTGAAAAGAATTTTCGTGAAAACGAAAGAATACATTCATTGCAAAATTATCGAACATTATGCGACTTTGTAATGGCAAATAAATTCATTCATCTTTACTTACATCATGCATGTTATATGCAGTTATATAATAAAAAAAGGAATGCTGCTAGTGAAACGACACATAATCAAGATGATCAAATGATAATGGATATCGATTTACAAAAAATTGATGTAGGTACTCAAACAGAGTTCCTTACAGATAGTACTATGAATCGATTTGGAACAATAACCAACTGCAATATTGTATTTAATACAAATCCTTGTCAAGCATTACCAACAACGGCCCCAAACTTTACTCGATCAATATCAGACAGTTCGATAGAACTACCTTTTTATCGATTGTCCACTCAACATAAAACATGTTCAATATGTGGGAAGAATTTTTCTTCTAAAAAAATTTCTTGCCAAGAAATTAATCAGAGCATACGTATACAATATTTGCTTGATCATAATATTTATATTCCAATCAGCAATAGATGTTGTTCGAGTCATAATTTTGATAAGGCAATAGATATACGATCAGTTGAACAAATAAAAAGGAATAAGCTAAATTATTGTATGATCAAAAGGGATGAATTGATTACTATTTTAAATGAAATGAAAGAAGAATTAAAAAATAAAGATTGTAAAATTCATGAATCGAACCAAAATCCACCATTAAATTTTGATGATGACGAAGCACCAATGTCAGATTCGAATTATCATGTATTAACTGGGCTCACTCGTGAGCAATTCAACGATCTTTGTTCTGAAATACCACCTTCAGCCTTAAGAGATACTGATATTAGAACACCAAGGACAGCTATTGCTTGTCTTCTAGTTAAATTAAGACTTGGTTTAAGTCATCAAGCATTGTGTACTTTATTTTCTGTTGAAGATAAACGTAAAATGACCAGAATTCTTGACAGTGCTTGTACTGCTATCAAAAAATACTTTGTTCCGAAACATTTAGGATTCGATCACATTGAGAGACAAAAGGTGATTGATGATCACACTCGACCACTTGCAAAAATTCTTTTAGGTGATAATGATCCTAGCAAGGCTATAATAATCCTTGACGGAACATATTGTTATATTCAAAAGTCGGCTAATAATTTACTACAGCGTCGAACGTACTCACTTCACAAAGGAAAACCATTAGTTAAGCCGATGATGATCGTGTCGAGCGATGGTTACATCATATCAGTAATGGGACCCTTTTTGGCAGATGGACGTAATAATGACGCTGAAATTACTAAAAGTATGATGTATAATAATAAGCAGGGGTTTACCGATTGGCTACGTCCAGGAGATCTTGTTATTGTAGATAGAGGATTTCGCGATTGTATACCGGATTTGGAAAAATTCTGTTACAAGACCAAAATGCCTTGTTTTCTCAACAAAGATCAATCCCAGTTTACTACAAGTCAGGCAAATGAAACACGACTCATCACCAAAATATGTTGGGTGATAGAATCAGCGAATGGGCGCGTCAAGCAATGGCAATTTTTCAATAAAATCATTCCAAATAGTATGATTGAGAAAATAGGCGATTACTTTGAGATTGTCTGTGCAATGATCAATTGTTATCGTCCTACTTTTATACAAGATACTAGTCATGACAATGAAATTGCTGAAAAAATGCTAAAGCTTGCTCGTGAAACAAATAAAATCAAAGATTACGTCGAAAGCATGAAAAATAAACCTGCGAAAAAGTTGAAATGGATTGCCATGGACGCTGCTGATGCTATTTCTGATTTTCCAAAAATGAGTTTCAAAAATTTACAAGAGTTGACACTCGGAATATATCAGCTTAAGCAGGCTCGTTCTTATACTACCGAACATGTTTCTCCGAATGGAGCATTCGTGGTTAAAGTTGGAAATGAACGCCCTGATCTCATTCGAGCGCAGGTTCAGTCGAGGCATAAAAATTCAACGAAGTATGACGTGTATGTGCAATATAACAAGAAAAACATTTCGGGTTGGTATTGCACGTGCCCGAACGGCTCTAGGGTGGTAGGCTGTTGTGCACATATTGCGTCAATAATTTATTATTTGGCATATGCAACACATGATCCAAAACACTTACAACAGAGAGCATTCGATTATTATAATAGTATAACAGATGCTCAAGATTACTCAGAATTATCAGATACTGAGTCAGAAAATAGTGATGATGATTCTAATATACTTTATTCATTGGCTTGATGTGATTGAATCATTTTACCGAATTCTCGACAATGTTGTTTCGTCTGTATGACTTACTGATAAAACATCGTTTAAATTCAATGTATTGATTAAGTTGTTTCTCTTAGAATTGATTTTCCTCTCATTCTCTATGACAGGTGTAAATAACATGAAATAGACGAAAACATAATGAAACAAAAAAACTAAAAAAAACAAAAAAAAAACCCTCCTCAGACGCTAGCAGATCGGGCTCTTCGTGCCGTCTGGGATCGGCACTGCTGCTACAGTGACCAACAGATCTGCCTCAAACTACCATAAATGAATCAATAATTTAAAATAATCAATATTTCGAGCAGTTAATATCGAAAAAAATAATTGACTTCACTGATAAAGTATACTGAATAAGTGAAAATAGCCTTGTTTCACCATTATTTTCGAATTTTCACTACTTTCTTCAATTTGTTTAAAAATTTCAAGGTCATATTCGGATAGAGCATGAAAAACTGCATCGATCTATATATATAACTCATTGTCTTAAAGATTCGTTAGGGAAAAAATTGGCCTACACTTCATAGTACGTAGGTCTTTGTTCGCGTTTTCTTCAGTTTTTAGCGAAATAAACTGAGAATATATACTTGTTAAGCCATTAATCTGTCAGAAGTTGATAGAACAATCATTTCCACACATATATAAAGTGTTATTACTATTCTAAACTAACTTTTAGAGTTAAAAGGTAGTGATTTTTTGGATAAGGTCAAAAAAACATCCTTTATCAGAATAGGCTGTTTTTTCATTTAAATCATTTTTTTATGCAAAACAAACCTTATATTTATGATCACCATGGTCGATAACCTATATCTGGAGCAAATTGGAAGATGAAAAAAAATATTTGTTTTTCTTTGTTCCTGAGGGGTACCAGGGCAAAAATTTTTTTGAAAAAAATTTTTTTTCGTTTTTTAAAAACAAAATACATAGTTTTGTTCAGAATTAAATGCTGATTCTAACCATGTAATTTTTTTCAAAAAATGTTGGGGGCGGAAAAATGGCCTTACCGCCACTTGTCCTTTGTAATTTTTCTTTTTTCGAACATTAAAATTTAGAAAGTTTGTAAAAACTATGGTTACATTTCTGTAATTAACGAGAAAATTCATCTAAAAAATATTGATTTCGTACCATTCAGTCAACAGAACCTGCGGAGAGCAGCTGGAAACCTTGTTGTACAGCTTACGTGCAGTTATTTTCTTTAAGAGAAAGTGTGAATTCCACAAAACATTATTGACTTCCAATCGCTGTG